TCCTCTCCTTCCCCCCGCTTCTTCTGGGGGAAAAAGGGGTTGGGTGAGTAAGCAAGCAGAATTTCAAATTCATGTGAAGCTAAAATATCTACCAGTTAGAAACAAATAGTCCTACTACCTTTGTATGGACCTTCTCATTATTTCACAAGTATTATTCTTCATATAACTTTCACTGTAATTTGTGAATCACTTTTTCTTCCTTTCTATAGCACAATCATGTGGCTTCATTAAATTCTGGGCCCATTTTCATTTTCCTCTTAGTATTGATACCTGAAACTAGTGTTTAAAGTAGCAATTATTTTTCATTATAAAGCAGTTATTCCATGACTTCTAGAACTTGTGGAGCCTGGCTTTGCTGCAGGTTTGTCCTGCAGCTGATGTAAGCTTTGTTCTGAATTGCCCCCCTTGTGGAAAAAACCTGCAGCAGATCTTTCCAGTGTTGACTCTTTGGTATCTAAATAATTAGTAAGTGTTTGCTGCAACCTTTCCCTTCAGTGAGGGCAGGTGCTGGAGTCTCCTGAAGACAGGAGACTGCAAAGGAGAGGAACCTGGCAAGGAGCAAGATCTGTCCCTGTCAACTCCTGCTCACACTGGCCAGAGAGTTCAAAGGAAGGGACGTGCATCTATATCTTGGGATGTTCTTGCTGAGAAACCATCTCAGAAAATGGAAGTGCTATATGGGGGTATAGCTTTTATGTTGGCCAGGAGTATATATTTAGTAATAATCATCATAAAGGAATCCTCAGTCTTCAAAGTATTTTATACCTTAATAATTGGAGTTCTGTGCAGAATCATAGGGTTGGCAACCTCCCTCCCTGGAGGCACTTGCAGTTTAAAAAGAAGCAGTGATATTTTAAAAGCTATATATATGTAAATCAGGCAGAGCTCAGGGTGATGGATAGATGTATTATTTGTTTAAGTAAGTCTCTTAAGTGTCTTCAGCCTGCATGTGCAGTTTTCTTTAATAATAAATGTTTTTTCTCTGAAGTTTGAACCATTGTAATGGAATTAAGTAGTTCTTTTATGATAAAGTTCATGCAGTGCTTAAATAGCTACCCTTCTGATGCCTGGTTAGTAGCTGTTGAATAGAAGGGACAGTTAGTTCACTTTAATCCAATAATGAGGGTTTTTTTTTTTAAGCAGATATGATAAAATTTCAGGTGGCACTTCCTTGTTTGTACTAGAATGAAGAAGAATGCTTATGTTGGGTTCCCACTCTTTACTGTTTACATAATTGTCAGTAATACTTATGGACTGTGTTCTTCTCCTTGAGCAATTTGAAACTATTCTTCAGAACAGTTGTAGAAGCCTAACTAAATGGAAGTTCAGTGTTAATCAGTCTTCCCACCCGAAGGCAGGTATTCTGCACTTGTAAGCAAGTTAAGGCAAGGTAATTTAGGCAAAATTATCATGGCAATGCATAGGAGGCTGGAAAGTCTATGCTAAGAGTTATGGTTTGATAACAATACTGAAGTAATCTGCATGCACTGTAGGGTTCTCCTGTGCTTCTGCAGAGCGGGAAGTATTGTGATCACTTTTACTATGTGAAAAGTGAAATTGTGAAACTGAGGAAGACTTTACAATGTTGCAAAAGATGGTAATTTAGAGACTTCAGAATTGCTTTTTAATTTATATACAAGTCAGAAAACGCTTGCCACGATGCTGAATGCCATGTCAGTTGGAGGCAGAGCGTGCGGCAACAGATTTCTTGCTTCAGTTTTTTTTCCACCTGCAAAACTGGTGGCAGTATTTTTCTAAAACTGCAAATTTACGTTCACTCAATGTTATACATAAACAAATTATATAAGAGAGGCTCTTCCTGACAGCGTATTAAATCTTAGTCCTGTTTTAGAAACTGAGAAAATTTCTGTTTCATCTGTAACCTATGTGACTCTGAATTGCAGAATACCTTCGGATAACTATTCTGGATTGGGTCTTAATAGTGATTTTTCTCACTGGAACATGAGATGCTTCTTACAACTGCTAACACTGTTAACTGGTTCCTGTCCATACAAGCTGTGGCAGAGAAGTAGCACTCCAGTACTGGCCTGTGCAGAAGAGCTGTGCTTATGTTGATAAAGCCAGATTATCCTCTGATAGTCTGTTCTGCTATTTCCTGGCTAATGAAATACACCATGGAGAAGCATCAAGAGCAGGCACCACCAGAAAAGGAAGATGGGAAAGCATGATCATGATTAGATTAAAAAAAAGACTTGGCTGATATGAGCATGGGGACAGGGGGTTAAGGTTTATTGTCTAATTGTATCTTACTGTTTTCCTTCTATCAATCTGCATGATTAAGACATCTAACTACTTTTTCTCAAATGCAAAAGCTATTTCTTTCTCTACAAATGGATTTCTTAATGCTTTTTTTCATATTGGTCCCGAACTTTCTATCTAGTCAGCAGAGAAGAAAATGCTATTTATTAGTGCAATTTAAATTAGTCCTGAAAGGAACTCTTTTAATTAAAAATGTTCTCCTCTGTTTTCTGGATACATACTGTCTATTTAATAGAGATGGCTGCCAAGCTTTGACTTCTTTTTGGCAACCGCAAATCTAATTAGCATTTCTGTTCCAAATAGAACCTTTTATTTTAAATTTGCAAAAGGAATGTCAGAATTCTCTTTTTATTTGAGAGTTTTGTCTCTCTCAGCAGCAACTACATATTTTTTTGCTCATAGTTGAGCATTGCTATACTAACACCTGATTGATAAATACAGGGATAGTTGGGATTCTCTCACCAGCTCATTGAAATAAAACAAATGCTGCCCTTAAGGTTCTTTAAAAAAAAATAAAAATTTGTTTTGTGATGAAGCCTAAACTATAAAAAGCTAGCAAATTAGATGAAACCAGTGGTTTGTCGTCTGCCTATCATATCCAGTCTTTTTTAATGTAAAGGGAAACCTTTCTGTCTTAATTTGATGTAAAAGTAAACTCTGTTCATTAAAAGAACACATAGCTTGAATAAGCTTTAGGAGATATATGGAGATGTTATTATTTTTAACTCAAGTTGAATCGTCTTTCCATTCAGCAGCTGTGTGGAAAAATATGCAAGCAAGATAATGAATATAGCTGCGTTATATGTCACATTATTTATACAGATGAATTACACGGGCAAGAGGGTTTTTTTGTGGTCACCTTATCATGCACAGGGGAATAATGCTCTGCTCTTTTCCACTTGAGCATATAATAAGAAAAAAACTTCAGAATACCAAGGAGATTACTCTCTTGTTCTTGTAGGAAAAATTCTAAAGAAGAAAATCACCTTTTGTGGAGTGGGTTGGCATTCTTTCAGTCCATGTACCAAAACATTGATTGAAATTATTATTTTGTTTGTTTGTTTTTAAGGGGATGAGAGGAGTAATTGAAAGTCCAATCTTAATTTTTTTCTATGAACCTGGCAGCTGCTTTAGGTCTGACCTGGGTCTGACTGACTTGGTTTTGATAAAACTAGAGCTGCTTGTGACCCTTTATTCATTTCAAGGTATAATGTTTTTGTTGCTGTCGTCATACAATCTATAAAATCTAATTGCATGTCAACTGCCCTTAGTATTTTGTTTTAAACTTACCTCCAAGTCATAAGAGAGGAAGCTTTAGAGAAAAGTTGTAACTTGTGCTGCAATTTAGAAATACATGGGGCTTGTTTACATTTTTGTAAATAACCATTCTGATAAACCTAGCATGATCTGGTTCACTTTTCCAATAGTACTAGACTTCTTGAATTTATAAGGAAAAATTGTCTAATGAAATGCAAGATGCGAATGTGATGTGCCTGATGCTGCTTCTAGTACTTATCTTTGGTTTAGGGAGGTATAATTCTAAGACTAAGTATATTCAGCTGTTCTAACAGCTGAAAATGCCATCTATTTCTGAGAGTGGTCTTGTTCACTAGAGCTACTGTAATATTTGTCATATTCAGCATTGCAGTTGTGTAATTTTTGGCGTTTTGCTGTGGAATCTACATAAAAATGAACTCGTTCAAAATTAGAGTGCCTATTAATCAAACACTTTAGTACTGGATTTCTCTTTGTCTAGTGAATTATGGTTTCTCAGTGTATTTTTTTCAGTAAGGTAGGAACTGTCGCAACATAACGTGTATGCAGCTCTGAAATAACTTCTAATAGTGCCAATTCAGAATGGATCCTGTTCATATCATTTGGGAAAATCTACATAAGTCTTTTTTTCAGCAGAAATATGTGGGGAAAGAAATTGTTACCCAGCTAGTTGCGTTTGCCTTGATTGGTATGAATGCATAAAGCTGCTGGTAATTAAAAAGTAGCATAGGCATATTAGAGGTTTGCTCCGGGCAACTTTGATACTAGATTGCTGCTTTTTCTTCAAAATAAACCATCTGCTTATGATAGGTACTTGAGGAATCTTGTAGCCTACCCATTGCCTAACTGTTTTTTAATATAGTAACTTTGTGTTATCACCTCAGTGTTGGATGTTGTCAACAGAACTATTGTAAGCAATTAAAGGTCTGGAGTTTGCAACATTAAGCAAATGAGAGAAAGTATACTGGAGGCTTTAGGTCCTTGTAGGACTTTGCTTAAAGCTCAATAGTTAGAGATGGCTAAGTAAAGTAGATTCAGATTCTCCACTTCAGCAAATGTTATGACCTTGTCATGGTCCAATTGACATAGTAGGCCAAGGTTTGAGGAAACAGCGCTCCTTAAAGTGTAAACTGCACTGAAGTGATCAGGGGATCTGGTCACTTTCTTTGCAAAGCTGCTAGGTTTAATCTTTACTTTTTCTCTTTTTTAATAGTTCTGTTGTATAAGTAGGCTCAGAAAAATACTGTCACTGTCTCACTATCTCAGCGCATGAAAATGCCGTCTTCCAAATACACTGTAAAGTCTTTTTGTAAAGTACAGTCCTAAAAACCAGAAGTCTCTCGAACAAAGTCTTTTGTACCTCTGTATTTCAGCTCTGTTGAAGAATGAACTGCTGTGTAAAGTATCAGTAGAACTTAACAAGACCTTCCTTTTTGTTTTTGAAGGACTTGGTAAATATTGAGATGTTTTTGACTGCTAAAGAAGTGGAAGAGTCATTGGAAAGACAAGAGACCATGACTTGCTTGGCTTGGTGTCATGATAACAAATCCAGGCTCAGAAAAATGAAGGTATGAAAAAGTAATGTGTTCATGTCTTGCTGAAACTGTTTCCTAAATATGTTTCCTTATCTGCTGGGATATTTGATACGGTCAGTTTGGCTTAAATTATAGAACTTGAATGAGGCCTTGTATAAAAGTAAGGACAAAAAGTACAAAAACTCTTCTTTTAAGAAGGTGTAGGTAGTTGGAGCTGAACTAGCTCATGCAAATGTCAAACCTGAAACTGAGTGATAGGTCATCTTATGGAAGCCAATGTTGCCTGAACAAATTATGCTCAAATAAAATAATTATTCAGTTGTTTTTATTGTGATTTACAAACATCTAAATGCAGAAGTATGTAGTGTCTTGATGTACATGAACTTAAATTTATAATTCTTTGTTTTCTGCTGAAAATATAACTCAGTTTATGTATGAAAGTATCTTAAAAGGGAGTTTAATTGGTAAACCTATGTCCTCAGGCTTAACACTCAGAGAAACTTCATACGAGTTTTTGTATTGCTATTTTTCAACTGTTGTATATAAGAAAATTAAATTCAAGTAAAAAACTAACTTTCTGTGAGAAAATACTGTTGAAATGTTTGGTTTTTTTCAAAACCAAAAGCCAAGTCTAATCAAGTAATAAACACAGTAAGTCTTTCTAGCCATTGAATATCGTGACCTGAACATGATGTGTGCTTGTTCCTGTGCAGTTGGTTTAAGTTTCCCTTGTCTCAAATTCTGCATTTCAAAAAATGCTGTAATGTGTTATAGGGCTTGCAGAAATCTGTTTTTAACTGATATTAACCAGAATCCCTGCCTCCCTCAAAGATGTTTGTGTCTTATTTTTTTTAAACTAAGCGCTTTCTTTAACCAAAAATGTTTGAGTGCACTTAATGATAAGCAAAGAGTGACATTCTCTGTCACTCAGGGGCGCCAAAATGAGAATGAACCGAAGATGGGACGCAAAAGTAAATCGGACAGTGATTACTCTAAAGAAAATGATGATCTTGTTATGGAAACCATTAAAGGAAAACCAGAATTGGTATGTAAACACTTGCATAATTATACTGCTAAAAAAATCCCCCTTGTGTAATCTTAATATGTTAAGTAATATAAGAAATAAAATCTGAACGTCTTACTTTTTCATCAACAATCTTCAACAAGCAATAAATAAGGAAAAATCTTCCCCATATCCCTTTTTTGGAAAATGCCAACAACAACAAAAAAATCTATTTCTGCAAGCCAGAAACCCCAGCAGCACAGGGAAAACGAGCTGGTGAGCCCCATCCCCAGTGGCTGTGCAGCAGCAGCCTCCAGCTGTGGCTGGGGAAACAGGAGGGGCTGGGGTTGCAATGGCATCCGGATTCCAGCCTGGCCAGACAAGCACTGTGACGTTTTTCCATCACATGTGACCCGTCGGTGCCTTCTGCTGTAGTTTTCATTCAGGAATGCTAGCTGTGGTCAGGCTGCCTGTATTTACAGACACAAACAAACTGCTGCTGACTGAAATACACCATTCCCATGACTCTGCTTGGCACCAACGTTGCAAGGGTGAAGGCAGATCTGGTTACACAGTAAAGCAAAGCCTTCTTGCTCTTAGCATCCCTGCAACCCTCTTTTTTTTTTTTTTTTTTTTTTTTTGAACAAAGAAAGCTAAGGCTGTGAGAGATCAGAGTTGGAAGACGAGAAATCACTATGCTTCTTATTGAAACACAAATAAACATTTCTTCTGTTTCTAGTTGCTTAGCTACTCATCAATGTTAATGTTCTAAAATCCCAGCCACCACCTTTATGCAAACCTAGTCTAAAAATTAAGCTGTTGGCCTGGGAAAGCACATGTTTCTGTAGTCTACAGATATGACCTATCTAAACTCTTGTGAATAGCTGCTATGGAACTGTTTGAAGGTATACAAAGTTGAACTGTATGTATCATGAGATTGTCTAGGACTCTTTTCTTCTAGTTACACTTGTCTGCAGAATCCATACAGCCATTGGCTTGCAGCTTACTTGAAGATTCATAAAAACAAAACACAAACTCTGAGGACTGTTTTGGGATGTGGGTTTTTTGCTGTTAAAACATTTTAACAAAATACGAAGCCCTAGGATTTAGTATTGTGAACAGTTAAAAAGCTTGATCAGTCTTTCAGGAGGAATGAACTTAGCCAAAATTTTAATTGAGGGTTTTAGGCTGATTGGAGTAACAGCGAATTTTAAAATAGTCCTACTTGAAAATTTCAAATAAAGCAGAGAAGAAATTTTTAATCTCTGCTACACATGGGCTTGTGTACAGAAAAATGCATGGTTGGAAAATAATTGATTTTCTATGCTTTAAACAAGTATATTTTTTACTTATGACAGAATGCATCATTTTTATGTTCAAATAGCTTACATTTTAAATCTTAAAATAAGCAATTGTTGCAGTGTGTGCATTAGTCACCCCAGGCAGTTCACTGATACAAATTTGGAATTGCTCAAATTCCTACTGAAGTCACTGAGGAATTTTGATAATATTGTGCTGGTGGACAATAAACAAAAGGCAACTATTCACTAGAAGCATAGGGGAAGGAAAAAAAAAATTGCCAAACAGAACAGGGTAATTCAAGGAATACAGTTCTTTTCAAGACTCAAAGGACTTTGGGTTTTCATTGTTTTTTTTAAGGTTATAAAACAGTTGACTGTGTCCCTATAAAGAAGCATAGTGACTTGTTCTTTTAGGGGGGGAGAATCTTTTTCTTTTTAATTCCACGTGTTCAAAGTTTTTTTATAGATTTTGTGAACTGGTGATGGAATTTGATTTAAAGGGACACTGTCAACTTCATTAGGCTTCAAATTTTACCTTTTTCCAAAAACAGGTAAATGCCACTTGGTCTTCTTGTTTGAGACTTGTTTCCAGCATGGCTTTTAGATGTTTGACAAGAAGAGCGGGATAGAAGTTTGAAGAAAGGGAGGGAGGGGATTGCAGCAACTTAAACTCTATGCTGTTTTTTTATTATTGTTGGGGACTTTCAAAATAGTGTTCAAAGACTTGTTTCTTCCTTGCAGTCTTCTGGGTAGACCTCTCTAGTTTAAATTATCACATAGCCCCAAACTTCTGTTGAATCTACTACTTTAAATTGTAAGAAAGTACAGAGAAACCACGTGCTACTCTCACTTGCCTCTCAGGTAATGATACTTTCAGTTGTTAGGAAAAAGTTCATCCCTGCTAAATACTGAAGTTTTGAAGGAGGCAAGAGGAGAAGGCTTTTGTTTGCTTTTAGGGAATTCTGTGCTGATGTCTTAAGCTCAGCATTTCAACTTTTTTTGCATGAATGCCTAAAAGCAAGCAAACGAGGTTGCATGTTATTAACACTTTCTTTTTTTTGTTGTGCACACATAGTACTTAACATCCTGTGCAGTGCAGTTTTGGCACCATCTAAGACCCTGTCTTGTCTTTAATCTCAGAGCTGTCTGGAGTTCAGCCTAAGGATTCAGGAGTTCATTGAACTCATTCGACAGAACAAGAGACTGGATGCTGTGAGGTATGAACCTAGGATCCTTACCCAACAATTTTTCTTAACAAGATGGTATTATGCTACATTAGAAATGTGACTATTACTGCAACACGCAGAAGCCCCACTGCTGGAAAGGATCTTGCAACTGTTGTGATCACTCTTTGTATTTAAGTTGGGGTTGAATGTTTATTGTGGTGGTGTTTTTTTTTTTAAAGGCAAGGTGTCATTCCACAGATGCACCTTTTTATAAACTTCAAATTTGTCGGTGAAACCCTGTATCTTCTTACTCTTCAAAAACAATGTTTAGAATATTAAGCCGTTTTATTAAACAATTGTATTTTCTGGTGGCATACAATGTTATGAACATATTTACCCTTAACTTATTTTCAGGAGGTACAGCTAGCTTCTCATAGGAACTCACTTTAGTTTTAATCACAAAATATACTAAAAGGTTAATAAAAGACCCATATAAAGGTTAACATTTCAATTTTGACTTCTCTCCTGTTTTACTATGTATTGAATTTTGTGTTGTACAAGTTATGCTTTAGGCCAGGTTCACCTTTGGTATGGAATGGATTATTTGGAGTCCTGTATTGTCATGTTTGTGGGAATAACAAGCTACATTGTTACCCCCACTCCCTTCCCCAGGCCCCAGATGAAGAAACCAACCCAATACCCATTTTCACCTCTTTTGAACTAGTTCAGGGGGGGACAACTTGGAGAGAAGTAACACTGCCCGGGGTGGTACGGATCTGTGACAGAACTAGAGTCAGACCTAATCGCTGCCTGACTTCAACCACCAGACATTCCTTCTGGCAATGCTTCAGCACATGAAACAATTTATGCTTTTAGGTTAGTGTGTTGGACTAACGTTCCAGGGTAACACAGGAAACCAGTTCTGATATTGCGACTATAAAATGTGTTGATGATTCTGGTAAGCAGTGATCTTCCCAGTACCACAAAGTATGATGTAGGTGGCAGAGCTACTGGAGATTACACATGAACAAAGGAGAGAGGAACTCACAGCAGGTTCTGTTTTGTAAGAATATTTAAACTGAGGGAGAGATGACAAGTTTTATGGCCAGACTTGCAGCGTTGCTCATACATTCCACTGATAACGCTCTTGCTGCTTAACATTTCTGACAAGTTTTATGTTTAAGGAAGTTGCAAGTCTTACTGCCTTTAAAGGCAGACTTGGTACTCCAGAAATGGAAACCAGCAGGAGGCTTGTGTTTGTGGCAAAGCTGCTTTTTGGTCAGAGGAGCACAGTTATAGAAAACATAAAAAGTATCATAACATGAGCACAGACTGAAAGCATTCTAGTGCATTCCCAAGTTTTAGATGTAGAAACTCTTCTGCAGGGCAAACCACATCACATAACTTTTCTTGAATAGAAGGAGTTAGAGAGTCTTAGTTGTTTAAAAACAAGAATAAAGGAAAAGGTAGTGCAAGTAGGTGGAGAGGCCAGTTTAATACTAACACCACCCCCAAAATTACCTTAAGTTTTAGGGTTTCTTTTCTAGTTGCTGTTTATAATGTCATTCAGATGTGTTGCTTGCTTTGAGCTAACTCATATCATTCCTACTTTGCCCTACTTGGACCTACATCATCGTTGTTTCGGTCCCAGCCAATGCAAATGTGCAATCTGATAAACTCCAGCTAATTTTAATGTTAATAATTTAAAAAAAAAAGCCCCAAAAGCAAAAAAAGCCCAAAGAAACAAACACCACCTAAACCCCCAAAATCCTGCATGCTACCATTTAGATATGTGCACTTACATTTTGGTAGAGTTCTCAAATCCTAAGCAATAGTTAGGTGCTTATGAAAAGGATGAAGGACACTCAACTACATTATTTGTCTTCTGAAGCCCATGGTGCTCTTTATATCCAATGAATACTGTGCCTTTAGGTTTATTCTCTGCTAGGTTTGCTTCTTTGCCAAATGTGTAGTCATGCATCTTAACAATTGAGTAGTCCGTGCTCTAAAAACTGTTGTCTTTGAGCTGCAGCTTCCTTATGTAGCTTGGAAACCAGAGGACAGGCGTGGAGCTGAAATAAGGAGATAGGCTGAGAACTGGGTCAAAGTAGATATGGTCATTCTGTATTTTTTGGTTTTTACTGGATATTTGTTTCCTTCAGATTCCTTTTCCACATCAGAACTGGTAAAATTGGCAAGTTGTCAGCCCTCAAGAGGACACAGTGCTCTTGGTGTGGAATAACTTGTACTGTCGTAGCCCCTGAGGTTTAAAGCTGACAGCTTCTATTTACATTGCACTAGGGCCTCCATAGTGAATGTTGTTAGGGGTGAAGTGTGTATATTCCATATATCTATTGAAATTCAGGGTTGACATATTTCATACTCGGCAATTATAACTTGCCAGTCAACAATGCTGCTTTAACTTCATAACTTCTTGTAAAATGAAAAGGAGCTACAGAAGACCTTCTGTATCTTAATTCACTCCTTTTTAACAGGATGAGTTTTGATAATTTTGTACATTCAGAATCTAACATCTCAGCACTTCCTTTAAATAACACGGCTCAATGTTAGTTTTCACTATTTCATTCTACTTCAAAATAAATGTGTAATGAATAAGGGAATATATTTTGGGAAGGTGTAGCATAAATCTCATTGCTTCTAGCAAACTGTTGCAACTTGGTTGGTTTTTTTTTTTTATTAGCTTGCTTCTGTTAAGTGCCTGCAGCACGATTCTTTCAGTATTGTGTCCATGGTGCAATAAATAGGTCAGGCATCCATTAGAAAGCAGAGGAAGAGGCTGTTTACCAAGTAGTTTCCTGTATGAGTGGAACTCGGAGAACTGACATTTTGTTGAAACGCAGCTGGTGTTTAAATAAGTTTGAAAGCTTTGCTTACTGCCTGCTGAGAACCTCTGAAGTGACATATTGCTTTTAGGTTAAAATTGATGTGAGCTTTTAAATTATACATCTTATTAAATAAATGTTTGAATTTCTGTAGCTTTGTAGAATATGAGTACAAACAGACCTTCCTCTAAGGTAGCTTATCAGAGTGGTCTTGAAAGTGCAAGTTTCAAGCATGTACTATTTCCTGAATACAAAAAGTAAATCTCATAAGCTTAAGTAACATCACAAAGTTTTTTGTCTAGTCTCATCAGCCTTTAACTCCCACAGTCTCTTTAGGTTTTTTTGTAAAGCTCATACCTATTACAGTAACAATGAATGACTGATGACACTAATTTCATACTTTTGAGGCTCTTGCTAATTTCATTCTGGGAAATCTGACAGCATTCTGGTACTTTGCTCTTATGGGATGCTAGAGTTCTTGGCTAAAAGCTTAACAAAACACCCTTGCACTTCTTGTTCTTGGAATATGAAGGACAAAAGGGATAAATAAAAATAGCTGATGCACAGAATTAAGAGAAAAGGGCCACAGTCCTTTCATTTTAGTAAACTTCTCTCCTACAAGGGTGAATAAACACAGGCTCCCTTTATTTTTATTATGGGATGGGGTTGAACAGGTGTATAAAAATAATAATAAAACTTTTGAGCATAAATTTTGCTAGTAGTCATAATCGTCTCTGAGATAAAGGCATTCAGGTATTGGTCAGAAAGAACAAGTCCTTTCATGGTAATATCTTATGTTTGTGTTCAGTTACTGCTGCTTGATAAATATGTTCATTCTTGTATTCAGGCATATGTAGATATACACATACACATTGTATAGTGTATACACTTTTTTAACAACTTAATGTGCACTTAGTAGACAGTAAACTGTAAATCTTAAAGTCTTCATAAATATCCTTTCATTCTTGGATTTGTCAAGTACAGTATGTCCGCTGTACCTTCGTGGGCAGCTGTTTCAAACAAAAGACAATGAGCTTTGTCCCCACAGAGTTTACAGAATCATTCTGGAATTTGAAAAACAATTTTCTACCTTTTACTTTGCTCTGTCAGAAGAATTTAGTTTGTGGTTTCAGTGATGGTCCACCAGCCGTGATTCAAAAAAATAATTTAAAAAAAAAAATCCCCCTGCTCTAGCTACACTAACTAGTGTGTGGTAATGGTGGTAAAAACCATTGTAAATAAGCATTGTAAGGTTCATATGTACCTCTAAGAGCATAACGTTTGCACAAAGAGATGGAAATACCTGGATGAAAAGAGAAGGGGTTAATAATGGCATGAGAGCAAATTAGGTGTTATTTAAATTTTGTGCATTCACAAGTACTCACATGTACTGTTTCTTGCTTCCCAATCAAAAAAAGACTTCAGAGTGCTATGAGTTAACAAACTTGTGTACACACAGTGATTATACATCATACATACACAAAGCAAAATGTTAATTCTAATTCTTCTTGAACACATACAGTAAGTGTGACAGTATTTGCTTGTTGCAGCTCAGGGTCTTCCTGTAAGCCAGGGGATGTACTGTTGAAATGCTGTCTGTGTGAGCCTTTTGTCGTGGCCTGATGGGAAGTAGGACCACAATACTAACGAGGCTGGTGTAAAGCCTGAGTACCACTTCTCTTGTAACACCATAGAACACAAGTGTACAGTGATCAATTCTTCTAAGAGGATTATTTTTTTTTCTCTTCTCCCTCATGTGTGCACACATAGTAATTTAGCTTAACTGGTAGGTCTGAATTTTTTGCTCTGCCTAAGCTTTCTGTTAAACAGCTATCACTTTCATCTGCAGCTCTGCACAAGCACTGATTTTAGCTTTCCTCCAGTACATCCAGGCTGCCTGGTCTCTCTTCTCAGGCCGTGGGTTTTGCGTTTCTGCTCTCATAGCAGTAATCACCTGGGGAGCAATATTTACATTCCTGAATTGCTCACCCAAAATAGGAAGCTGGGTGGAAACAGTCTGTCCTACATAACTTCCATTGCTTCCTGGTTTGGGTGGGGGAGGAAGTAGGAGCACTGAAACACTGCTGAAGGGACTGTTCTCATGGTATCCATGACCTAAGTGTAGTTAGTGGAACACAGAATTGGAAAAACACCCCAAACTTAACTAGATTTTATTTTTCAATTCAACCCATGAAATGGGCAATTGGAAGAAATCTGTATATTCCTAAAAGTAATTTGTGACCTTAAATAGATTTTTAACAAGACTCTTTAAAAAAGTTACAAAGAGGAAGCACTTACCAGAGTACTTCAGATATGACTTGATAGCTTCCCCTTAATACGAACTGGAGAACATATGGCAATAGGGAAGGGGAGACTTTTCTACAATTACACAATGCTAGAAATTCAATATAGTGATGGTTCTGTGCTCAGTCTACTGTGCAACATCTGGGCACCACTGGAAACAGGAGCTTTTAGCAGAAATGCTGAACTAATCCAGTGTAAAGGGTGGAGGGTTTTCCTGCACATTTAAACTCCAACTTGACGATTGGTGATCTTGGGAAGACTGGATAGGGAAGGCTTTCATACAGGGTTTTTAAATAGTTGAATATCCTTATAATCTGTTAATGATTCTCTGGTTTCTTAGTACTAATTTCCTGAAAAATACTGAAGTTTGTATTTTTGCTTGATATATGTTTCTGGCAATTCTGTCACTTCTTTCAAATATCCAAGTTTTCAGCCTCTTATAATCAATATGCATTAAAGTACAAAAACTTGTACTGAAGTTCTACTTTTTATTTCCCTCGCAAAAAAATTTGCTCTTAACAAGGTGTTTTTTACCACATTACCCTGCAATTTCTTGTAGTCTGCACAGAAAGCAATATTGCTTTCTAGCCTATACAAAAAAAAAAATTATTCAAAAGTAAATATTCTCTCAAATGTCAGAATAAGCAAGATAGATATTTGAACACTCTTGATGTTTAATGGTTTGGAATAGCTGATTATCAAACTGCATTTATCTCACTTGAGTGTGTGCCAAAGGAGTAAGTGTGATACATTGGGCTTGCATAAGCAGAGAGATTTCTTCTAATAATCACGGATCTGTCATTCTAGATGTAGGTGAGGTAAGACTTCATGCTACAGTTCTGGTTTCTAAGAAATGACAGTATAAAATTGCGAGTTCTTAAAGTCATTCTTGCCTTCACATTTGCAGGATGTATTTTTTTCAAACCCTTTAAATCTATCACCTTTTGGAATTAATATATTGAGAGCAGAATCTAGAGGTTTTCTCTGAAATATTACATAACTATGTAAATTTACTTGATTTAGAAACAAGACTATCAAAGTATAAATTCTGTCTTTCAGGCATGCGAGAAAGCATTTCAGTCAGGCTGAGGGAAGCCAGCTGGATGAGGTTCGACAAGTGATGGGAATGTTGGCCTTTCCTTCAGACACCCATATCTCCCCCTATAAGGTAACATTATTTTTGAAATTCAGCAGTACAGCAGAATAATAAAATACATGCTGCAGTTCTTTTTCCTTACAGGAAAATGCATTGATAATCTGAAGACCAAATGTTCTAATTTTACTTTCTAAACCCCACTTCTGTATTATTTCTTAATTTTAATCACCAGTCCTTGCCTGTACGTTGATCTCGGTAGTAATTGTATTGTTGCAGTTGGATCTTAATAGTAAGAGACAGATTGATACTGAGCTAGGCTTACCACAGACCCAGCAATAAATATCTGTGGGACTGGAAGCATGATATGGAAATACTCAACAAGAGACAGAAGGTAGGGAAGTATAAAGAAAAAAATGAGACAGTTTTGTTCACCATACTAGGCTGTGGCCTTAGACTAGCAGCAGTTCTTAATTCTACTTCTCAAATTACTGTTCTTGTGGTGGTTGAGATGGAGAAAGGAAAGAAGACTTGAATGATCTGAAAGCAGTATTTTTGATGTTTAAAAGTGTTCATTTATTTGGATTATACAAATTAATCTAGATGTTAATGGTAATATCTAAATCTAAATTTGAATCAAGCAAAATTCATAGGTTGTTACTGTATCTACAGATTTGAGTTTGTTTTGTGGTCCTGTGTAATTCACTTTTTTTTAACGTGGCATCAGAGGCAGAAGGTAGACAAGAGTTGAGCTGGCAAAGCAAAACAAGAATCCTGTGAAATACCAAGCCAATATGTGGCAATGCCAGTCTAAACGTGTTTTTTAACAACTGATGAATAAATCAATGGTTTAACAAAGCAAACACACCAAAAAAAAAAAACCCAAAACCAACAACCCACAGAATTAATGTGAATTTCTTTAGTAATCCTGGAGTCCTAGAAGGATCCTTGTATTTTTTATTCTACATTTGATGTGAGTAATGAGCATAAATGATAGATCTGGGTGTAAGACAAAGTTTATCATTGGTTTAGTAGTTAGAAAGAAATAGGCAGGAAATAAAAATCCTGTATTTTGTTCTAAAACCTAGTTTGGACAGAATGTTGCGATGAGGGAGAGCAAGGAGAAAAGCTTGTTACTGCTTCATGTACAACCATACAACTGGAACAAATTCCCTACTATTTTTTATGGATCTGCTATAAAACATTCTAGTTTATGGAATTTATGGTTTGGGTGCTCTAATAATTACCTACATAAACAGAATCATAGAATGCATGCTTGTTTGGACATACTTTTAATATGTTGACTAGGTGGTTGATGCATAAATGGATTCTTAAAATGGCTTTAAGGAAAATTACTTTATTAATCCAAGGGAAGAATTATCCTCTATACCAAATGGATAGAGCTTTTTCCAGCTTTTTCTATCTCTTAGGACTTTGAGGCAATCATATTTAACATTGTGGCAAAACAAGCTTTTTTTTTTTTTTTTTTTTTTTTTTTTTTTATGCCCTTTGAACAAGCTTGTATAGTTGGCTGGAGTTTCTCCAACTGGACATTTAGTAATCTGCTACTTTTGTGTCCAATCATCTAGGCCATTAATCATAGGCTTTTCTTAATCACTAGTAGTACTTTATCTCTTCAATATGGATCTGTTGTAGGCTTTGTCTGTTACATCTTCTCAAGAATTGCCTTAAGGTCAGAACAAAAGCTTCATCCTGGAACTTGGGGAACATTCTGGCCTTAGATAGGGCAGGTGATAGAGCAAACAGACATGCAATCTGGTGGCAGAAACAGGAGCTTTTTGTTTCAGTTAAGGCAAGATACGTGTATGCATTTACTTTTGTTCCCATCTGTATAGGTTCTCAGTCTCAATTCTGCTTGTTGGTTGGGAGCATTTCAAAGTCAGACAAATATAGCTTTTTGTCCAGGATTCTTTCCTTTCCTGTGTATTTGCCTCTGAATCTTTCTGCCTCTTCCTCATGTGAATTCTTCGTCCTTTTGTGCTGGTTTTTCTTCAGCCATAGGTCCACAGTTGATCCAACTGTTTCTGCTGCAAGACCTTTTCCTTTTCTTTCTTGATTATTATTCCTGGGGGCTTTTTTGAATCTCTTGAAATCCATCACTTACACTTGTGCCCTTTTTCAGCTTCTGTCTAATTCCACTTTCTAAATGCTTGTCTGAAAAACATGGCAGGACTGGTTTGAGAGCTCTTCCCTCCCTCATCCAAAGATGTTCACAGTTTAATGGGAGCTGTTAAAACTCCATTGATCTGTCTCCTATCCAACAGTTGTTTTGTCTGTGTTCATGGAGACATGTAACTTCATAATCTCGGCTAAGATTTACTAGTTGTACATAAACCTCTTCTCCCCACTGATTAAGGAGTCAGTTTTCAGGTAGAGAGAAGGGATGGAGAAATAAATCTGCACTGACAACTGCTGTCAAAATCCAGTTTAACATTTCTTTAAATGTTGGCCTTTTGTAGTTCTACAAGGCGCTTCCCAAATTTATCTGAAATATGGCTCTGTCAACATGTAATTTTAGAATAATGATGAAAAATTTCTTCATAAAACAGTAACAAAAAAATAAATTACTATGATAACTTAAATCCTTTGGATAAAAGTTCTCAGGCCAGTCTCTCATATTCTTGGAGTGGGACAATGGCAGGATACAGGCTACAGAACAAGGTAATGTTGGAGTCCCTCCTTCTCTGGGGTCTTGACTTGAATGAACAGGGAACTGAGGAGAGGCAGAGTGGGCCAAGGTGGTACAGAGTAAAGAATAAAAAATAGTGTCTACTTCATGGTAAAGTCATTGCCTAGTTTTTTTGGTATAACATGTTTTGAATTTGATGCTGCTAATTTGTGTATTGTCTGTCACTAAGTCTTTGGTTTTCTTTAAAAGCCTATTTTATGAACTAATAAACATTGACATATTTTAATATATTACTTCTAGTTGCCTTAAAGTGTAGCACGCACAGTTGATAAAATGAATGTATTTCTGAGTGAAACATTGTCACTTCTCATGACCAAATTATAAAGGAGAAAGAGGTGATGGCAGAAGAAAGGATTAGGTCTTTGCTTGTGTATATATAAGATAACAAGTATATTTTTCAAAGGGTCTTCACTACTTACGTGACTCTTTCACAGCATTACTTTTAGGGTTCAATATATCCTTGACCTGTGGATGTAGTTCGTGCATCCATGAAAAAAACATCCCTACTTTAACTACTGTTCCCTGTTTTTTAGGTAACGCACAGCATTACAATATATATTAAAGAATTTTATCCTTAAATGCATAGCTTACCTAAGCTTTCTCTAACTGGGGGTTGTGCCAGCTCTTCAAATTAAAACCTTTTTACAAAATTATGTAAATATTATATATTACAAAGAGGTATCAGCAGAATTAGCCTGACTGCAGGTAAAAAAACATTTCTGACTTTTTGATGTTAATGGTTCAGAGGCTATAGAGCAAACATTCCACAGTACTAATGATGCTTCATAAGTAGGCCAGCAATCTAGAAAACTAAATGCAAGAAATAGCCTTACCAGGATTTACATACCTTAATTAGAACATTTGGTAGATGACAGGAAGATTGAATATTGTTACGCCAGCTATTTTAAGTAATACTTGATTTAAATCGTATTTCTAGTAAAGTAGAGTAAAAGGTACTTCTAAACAAGTACATTAATACTGTGCATTAGCATGTATACCTCTGGTTTGTGGTGGATTCAGTCTAGTGAGTTTTGCACAATTTACCACTCCCAGGCTTCCCCCTCCCACCCTGGGACAATTAGATTGAAAACAACTTACAGTTGTGTTGTTTTTTAACAGGATCTCTTGGACCCTGCTCGATGGAGAATGCTGATCCAACAGTTCAGATATGATAACTACAGACTACATCAGCTGGGAAACAATTCTGTTTTTACTATAACACTCCAGGCAGGCCTTTCAGCTATAAAAACACCGTATCCTTTAATGCAGATACTACTGTCGAGTGCAAAAAAGCATTGTGGTTTTTTTCAGTCTGGATGCTTTGCAGAGAGCTCAAAGAGGGAAATATGACACTTGAATATTTTTGCTCAGGAGCTGTTTAAGTGGAGTATGAAGTGGTCTCTCTATTAGGTTAAAGGATATTATAATAAATGGCATTATCATTAAAAAAAATAATAATAAATCCAACAAGCAAGCCCAAAGCAAAATTTTAGGTGAAATATACGTTGGTTACTAGCCTATCTCTCTTTCCAGGTGCCTTAAATTAGTGAATATATCTGCAAAAGTAAGTTAGCTGGGTCAGAATTATTATTTTTTTTAAGCACTTACACACAAATTTACCCTGTCTGGTTTTATGTGAATATTCAAATTTATCCTGCATCTTTTAAAACTTAATTGGATTTACTGCGTGCTATGGTGTGTTAGAGAAGGGCTGGTGCTACTGAAGTGTTCTACATCAGAAACTCTACCTGCAGAGGGTGCCAGACACTTTTTGCTCTTTTTACTCAAAACAAAGTAAGCACTTGATTGGTTTAATGTACACATTAAACTTGAATTAAATGGCCCTGAACGTTCTATAACCTGGGCTGTATTTGCACAGTTTACTATCTTATGCTGTTAACTAATTGTGGTTGCATTCTGTGGTGGCTGATCCTTAACTTGCTGTTAAACAGACAGTGTTATAAAGAGGATGGGAGCTCAAAAAACCCAGACTGCCCTGTGTGTAGCAAATCCCTGAACAAGCTGGCTCAGCCTCTGCCTATGGCACATTGTGCCAACTCCCGACTAGTCTGCAAGATTTCGGGGGATGTAATGAACGAAAATAATCCTCCTATGATGTTACCAAATGGATATGTCTATGGATACAATGTAAGTGTTGAAATCAATGACTTCCTGAGGTCTGGAATAGCAGTGGTTGTAATAACTTTCTATATGGAAATAAGAGTTTATAAATATAAACTCAGTCAGAAAGCTAGAAATACCTTCTATATTCACATCTTCTTACAGTAGTATTTAAAGGACTGTATATTTATGCAATTAAGTTGGTCTTTAAATAAGTTAATGTCTGAATATATGAATTTATAACATGAAATCAAATCACATTGGAAATTTTTCACTCTGGAGAGCAATAACGTAGAATAAGTAACTTTTGTGGGCATAGATATTTTGGCCTCAGACTATAACATCTTTTTTCCCTATTCTTAAAAGCTTATTTACTAAAAAACGCTTTGAGTTACTATTGTGAATATTGTTTTTTTATTTCGCTCACTCTCTTTTCAGTCTCTGCTTTCTATTCGTCAAGACGACAAAGTAATTTGCCCAAGAACCAAAGAAGTCTTCAACTTCTCACAAGCTGAGAAAGTCTACATCATGTAGGTCCGTAAAACACGTGCTGAAGTGCCGCTGGAATTTTGACACAGTGTATATTGGCAGACCCTGTAAAGGGGGGGGCCTTAATGTGTGGCAAAGAAGCAAAACCTGCCACCTTGGGGATCAGACCTGTCGGTGGCATTATTGTTTCTTGCGACCAAAGATCAATGAGCAACAATAAACACTCTTTAAAAAAAAAAAAAAAAAAGAGAGGAATTATGACTTAAGTTTGTACTTGAATAAAAACAAAAAAGAAATTTTGATTGTTAAGGTTTTGTAACGTAAAGTCAAAAATTGGACTCTTCTCAAAAGTACTTTCATCTTCTAAAGGATAACTTTCTTTAAAGATGGACGCTTGCACTGGGGGAAAAGTGACAACAGATTCAAAATTAAATCCATTTTTCTTCCCTCTTTTTCACAATTGTCCAAGACCCTTTTGTTATCAAAGATTTCAGTACTACCAATATGTTCTCCTTTAAGCTCCTCTTTGCCTTCTTTACGATCCTCTCGTGAAGTAATCCTGAACGTGAATTATGTAACTTATTTCCATGGGAAGACATTGATGTCTTTGACACAAGACTGGCTTCTCTGGAGGATCAACTGGGGACTGGTTTGAAGGAGTATGAAGTCTTTTTTCCAAACCCAAATATTTTAAGGAGGTTACAGAAGTATCAAGAGGAAGTGAGAACATTTCAGGCAAAATCCAATGCTTGTTTAAATGTTCTTTTTCCAGTCTACCATAGTGTTAAAGTCCTTCTAAAGTTATTAGTTATGTGCATAGGGTTCAATATGAAATCATTAGTGCTACTGCCTTATTTCTTGCTTTGAGAATGTACTCACATGAAAATGAGCTGGTATTCTTAAGTGTTGGGCGAAGTTTCTGAAGATGCCTTGCAGGATGATTACATAATTTTAGGGTCTAAATAGTATTCATTACTGAAACTAATAGTTCAATTTTAACAACTACAGAACACATCCTTATGACTTTTCAAAAGAATTAAACCATTGTAGTTTAAACAAAACCATATTGTAGAGGTTTGTATTTAGCGCTTATTTTTGCATGTTGATGTTGATTAGCTAATAAAAGATTGTAAATGTAAAACATGTTAATAAAGATTGTTTTCCATTTCTTGATTATATAAAATTAGAAAGCTGCTTTGTATTTAAATGTAAAAAACCTAACTCTCTTATAAGGGTCTCTCTTAAAAGGAGTGCAACTAATAAGTGTTGCTTTTCTTAGTGTTCTGCAAGATTAAAAAAAAAGCAAAAACAACAAACCCAAAACAAAAAACAACCAAAAAACCTCCACCCCACCCTAATCATAAATGTTGTTCTTCAGGCTCTAGAATCAGAGCGTCTCAGGCAAATAACTATTTTTTGGTTTAAACTTTTCATATATGAACAGTATACTCCAGTCTACATTCCTGTCCATTTTTTTCCTGTCACTTCCTAGAAGAGTGCCTAATGTCCTAGAGGCTTTCTCTTAATAAAATGTTGTGGGAGATGCGAGGTGTGAGGTTTTGATGTGTGACTGAGGGCTTTAAAGAACCCCAACAAAGAACAGTGGAGGGACCACAGCTTCTATTCATGTGCAACACCTAGAGATCACAGATATCTGAACCGATTGTATCAGCCACTCTGAAACTGTAAATGCAGGGGCATTTCCAGTGCAGTATGTCTGAAAAGGTTCCATTTTCAGTAAGCTTTCTTTCTTTTTTTTTTTATTGATGCTTTGAAAGAGGTATATCTGGAACACTGCAGAGCTGCCAGCTTGGCAGAGACCAGTGTTCCTGCACTAACTGCCGGGAGGGTCTGTTTCCCTCAGCATTTTCTGAAGTGGCAGATTTAGTGATTCCTTAGAACAAAAGCCATGTGCCAAGAGTAGATGGAGGCAGATAATGAGAGAACTTGCATCAGTAACTGAAGTAAGTAGCTATCACTTAAGCAGTAACTGATCTCTTCCTTCCTCATGGGGCAAGAGTTTGAAGCATCATCAACTCGAAAGGGGAGAGGACATCACCCCGGGGAGCAGTGTTGATGAAACCCAAGTGGAACAGCATCACTTCTTTCTTTGGCAGACTCTTCACTGCGTCATAGCAGAAGGGCAAGGATAACTTTGAGAATGGCAACCTTGCTTTCTCCCTACCCTACAGAAATGCATAACAGGCCAAAGCATGGAGGAAGGGGTAGGTTTCTTACCAGTGGTAACAGCTTAGCAATTGTAGGGCATGGACATTGTTGCTTTTGTTTCTCTAAGTACTAGTTAGAGCTGTGGTTTCCTTTTTGCTTTCTGTGGCCTAAGCAGAGAGGTGTAGAAATCCATGCTCCCAAAAAGCCTAGTTTGGGAGGGGAGGAGAGCAACTGTCCCACAACAGGAGAGCCTCCATTTATGGGAAATGTCGTTTCAGGGGGCCAGGTGCCAATGGGAGCTCTGAGTCCCCTGATGATGTGTTACAAAGAAGGTTTTCTGGAAGGAGCCTAGGGGATCTTCAGTTGTTTGTTAGCCATCATTGCTCACTTCAGAAATCTGCAATCAAACAACCAATTTTGACTACAGTGAGACCTGTTTGATGCTGGCAGTTGTAGCCTCCTGGCTGACCCCTGTGGAGTGTCCAGTACATGCACCTCTAGGCTGGCTTTCGTTCTTGAGCTTGCTCTGGTGTGGCTTTAGAAACCTTCCAGCTTTGTGAGGGTCAGAAATGGTGTCAGGGATGGATTGCTCTGGTGCAGCTTGGAGTTCTGGTTTGCGTTCCCCGACTGCTCTCTCTGCAGCCTTGAGCTCAGAATCCAACGGAGGTGTCAGCTCACAGCTCATGGGTGGCTTCAGACATCAAACATCAAACCAAGAGCAGTACGTGACTCACAGTAAGTATAAACTTACTGCCTGTAAGCACTATCTTAATAACTGTTCTCTCACTGCATTGATTCCTGCTGAGAGAGGATTTTGGAAGTATGATTTGTAGAACATTGGTGGAGGTGAGGCAGGGTTAGAGGCTTTCCTCAACAGTTGAAAGTTTGGGTAGTTACGTGGAGGTTAGTTACAGTTACGTGGAGGTTGAGAATTGCCTTAACCTTTCCTTCTAGGAAAGGTTCTTCTTCTATTCCTAACCCCTAGTCTGAAGAATGCTGAAGGTTCTCCTGTATTGCAAAAGAAGACAGAGGCGTTGGTAACTGTTCGTGATGCCTTGGGTTTCTTCGACACCTGTTTCAGCTTGAAGTATTCCATTATCTGCCAGGCTGAGGAGGCTTCAAGATGATGAGATCTCAATACTTTGTAGGTAGGAAGCAGTTCAGGCAAAATATTTTGCAGGAAGTTTTAAAGACTGATGGGCTGGTATGGTTTGCGGGTTTTTTTAATATTATAAGCATGTCTTTTCCTAATCATTAATATTACTTCTTGGGAAAAAAAAAAAGATGATTTGGGAGAAGAATGAGAAAGTTATGTACAGCTGGTAATCTGCCAAAAGGAAGCCTTCTAAAATTCTTAATAGACCACTGTTCAGGGAAAGAGTGAAATGTTGGCTTTTTTCATGCTTCAGATGATAGCCTGAGCAGAGCGTGTTGGGAGACACACCAAGCGCTTTATCAGGGCACACTTGGAGCCTCATGACTCCACTGTGATCTTGTGCACCGAGTGTCCTGTAGCATGATACAGAGGTCACTAGGTGTAACAAAATGAATATTTAAATCTCTTCTGTTCTGTTTTTCCGTGTTCTATAATGAGGTATCAGATTCTGCTCAGCACGTCCTTTTCTCCTCCCGTGTCCTGATGTCTGCAGCACGATGGACACTCCATCCCAATGACAGGCGAACAGGCCTTTCTGGCTTCCCTGTCTCAGTCTTGTACTCCTTAGGCCAGTTTCTGGTTGTGTTCTCCAGCATACTCCACCTTGAGGACTCAGTTTTGGGGTTTACCTGGCTCCGTGGTGTGACTTCTTGGCATTTGGTACAAATAATCTGCATCTTTAAAGACAGAACCAGGCTTTGGTGACAACGTGCTGTCCCAGCTGTCCCGCTCCATGCTTTCTGAACTAGTGCTCCAAATAAATCCCAGCCCAGATCAACGCAATAGTCGATCAAATCCAATCTTTATCTGATCCTTGAACAGATAAACTGCAAGTTGTTTCTTCTGGTCAGTGAATGCTGCAGTAACTGTTTGTTTCTGTTTGATGATGAGGGGTATCTGCAGGTTAGATAGTGAGCAGGATCGCCTTGCCGTGGTGCTTTTCTGAAGATTCAGTGCCTACTTGATTCTGCAGTATCTGTAATTCCCAGCCACCCTGAAAGGCACCACTTCTATTTATTTATTTGAAAGAATTAGCCCTGTTAATTAAGTTTTCTTGAAGTTTTCAGCAGCTCAACTTTCTCTTGGTTTTAGGAAGAGATCTAGGATGGACAAAGGTGGACAGCAGAATCTCTTCTTACCTCTTTATAAACTTACATAGCCAGGTGGGTTCTGTAAGTAGAATAAAGTCTCTCTGGCACATAGTCATGGGAAGAAAACTTGGCACTCATGGCCAACAGGAAGCTACAGAGCACAGGTACTGTTGGATGTGAGGGCTGAAGGGGTTTTTTGGCATGATGGCTGTAGAGCCACCATGAAGTAGTTCTGTTATAGCTGGCTTTTCTGAGATGTTAAACATGTATCTGAGCTGGTCATTGAAAAAACCTCATCTTAAGAGATCTAATTCTGATTTCAGTTTGAACTGAAGTTCTAAGACTCCATAAACAGTTCTTAATATCAAATATGAAAGTATTCCGTATCATTGCAAGCTAGAGACAAGTTAATTTCACGGAGGACTTTTGAATAAGATGTTTCAGACTCCACCATAAAATCCTGCTATTTGACCATGTTAAAATTATCCGAGATCTGTATCCTAAGCCAGAGGAAATCATCTGTAGGATAATTAGCACCACAAGAAGAACAATAGGAAATAGCAGAACAACAAGAAATAGAAAGGGCTGCTGAACAAGAAAAGCTGTTTGGTTTGACTTATTAAAAATGAGAACAAGTGTCAGGCTAAAGTTGAGTGATGCTATCAGCCAGCTATTTTTCAAAAAGATTAAAATAACTGCGCAAGTTTTTTAAAAATGCAAGTGAGAGGAAAAAGTGAACATGAAACTACTGTGTGGTAGAGATCCAGACTTGATTACAAAGCTGCACCCAGCACCTTGCTGCTTGCTCCTAATACAGCTGGCAGTGTTCGACACTGGTGGGGGGGTGGAGAGGGAGATGCACTGAGAAAAACTGAAATAACTTGGCAACATGGAAGTGAAAAAAAAACTGTGTGCAAGTTGATAGGAACCAAGTGATCACTCCTCTGAAATTGTTAATTGTTCAGATCTAATGGAAAGAAGCTGTTCTAGTATCCAGCCTGGGGGTGGTATCACATGAATGGAGAGCCTCTACTGTAGTTGCTGGTTTTTGAGGGGAGAATAAAATTCAACCTGAAGGATAACTGTAAGTGAGCGTGAAGGGGAGGTGTTTATGGAGGATAATTATGCCGTACCACCCTCATGACTACTGTTCTTAAGATGAGCCTTCTCAAACAAAATCCAGCTGTGATGCAGTATTTCGTGTGATGGCATTAGCTAACAACTGGAGAAGACGGGAATTGCAAATTGCATGAGGATCTGGTGAAGGGAGATAGGATGAAAGGTGGTGTGAAGGGCAGGGTAACTGATGGGGTTCCTCAGGGATCTGTCATGGAGCTGATACTAGTTGTCATTGCTGACGGTCCACTGTAAGCAGGAATGTGCTGATGGGACAAAAATAGTAGAGAGCTTCATCCCAGAGGATGCTGGAATATTACACAGCAGAAGAACAGGTAACCTTGAGGAGTGGACTAACAAACAAACGAGATTGCTTTTAGCACTAGAGTTCATTCAGCTGTCGATTAGGACCTCGCCTGAAAGAGCCCTTATCATACGCCATGATGGTGGAGGCCTTTGAGCCTCCAATGTGCTGCATCATTAAAACAGAGAAATGCAACCCTAAAATGGTGCCACCATTGGGATGAAGGAACAAGGGCTGCAAAAGGGCTTGGTGCTCCTTTGCTGGAGGCTAGACTACAGTCCAGCTTGGTCATGTCCATGCATCTCTTACACTGAAGCTGGAGCAGAGGGAGCACTGAA